TTTTCTAAACATCTCTACTTTTTATCTGTGTCTTGTCTAGAATCCCTAAGCTTGACCTTCATTATGGTCTCCATCTCTATAGTTTTCTGAGAAATTATTTCAGATTTGATTATTTTCTTGATCCTCATTCATATTCTTGGTTATTTTTGCTGGTACCACTTTAGGGAGTCCAGTAGGTGGCTTTTTGTACAGGGAATCAAACTGAGGACTTTGCCCTTTCTAGGCAGTGCTTGTGCCACTGAGCTGCATCCCCATCCATAGATGGATGGCTTCTGAATTGTTCCACCTCATTGCCTTCTGGGTTTGCATTAAGAAATTTGGACATTTGGAGCAGCATCTTTTTCCATGTTTTCTCATTTAATGCTTTTTAAAATTTATTTCATGGGTTTATGCTTATAAATTGCTTATTGCAGGTAGCTTTAATGCTAGTATTGAGAACCCTTGTAAAAATAACTACTTCTCAGAGATGTCTTCCAGGTGTAGTTGGATTTTTGGTTTTGAGTCCTGTTAAGATCCTACCTCTTCAATTTATTGGGAATGAGAAGTTTCGATGTGTTTGGCCCAGTCATTGGTTTTTTGGCACCATCTGATAATATCATTTATCATCCTTAGGCAATCTCAGTCTTGATTTGCAGGAAGAAGGACTGACTAGCACAATTATATCAACTTGGATAAAGTAATACAATAAGTGATAACAATAGCATCAAACACAGCTTAGAAAATGACAAGCTTTGTTAACCATTAATTTGCCAACTTTAACCGCATGAACCAGATATGTGGTTATATAACAAAAGGTGTAACAAACCATAAAAATGAATAAAATAAATATGCCCTGAATATGGCAATTTTACCCTCATGGGAAACAATTATAAAAGGATTAGGGGGAAAAACAGAAATTGAAGAGGAAGAGATTAGTATCAAGGCTGGGAACAAAGGAAGATTATGTGAACTTTCAGGCCCTGGTAAAGAAGAGAGGAGGGAAAGATAGAAGGTAGAAATAAAAAGAACAAGGGTCAGCATGATAACTCAACAGTCTAGATAGATAGATAGATAGATAGATAGATAGATAGATAGATAGTTGTGTTGAGGGGGTAAATCTTGCATTCAATTACATACCATCATCAAAATTTATTCTTTTATTCAACAACAATAACAATTTAAAACCCAAGACCTTCTCACTAACCTATCCTGAGCCCATGTTTTAATATGACAGAGGGTCTCACTGTGTTGTCCAGGTTGGACTCGAATCCCTGATCTCCCTGATCCAGCTCCCAAGCTGCTGGGACTGCAGGCAGTGCCCCTTACTCAAGCCTATCCAGTTTTACTTTGGAACATGATCAGTGAAATACATCCCCTCCCATGTGTACAGGTAATTTATTAGAGCAGCACATGTCTGTTTCATAATGAATTACAACATATATCCTTCACAAATCTTAAGTTTTTGAAGTCTAGGAATATTTTGTCAGCAGTAGCTTCAGTGTTTAAAGAATATGAATTTTGGCATTAGATAGCTAGCTAGAGAGACAGACAGATAGACAGACAGCAGGTGGTGTATGTTTACAGTACATAATTATTACACTTACTGTGGTGAGTTCTTAAACTCATTCAGTGCTTCTCCATTCTCCTGGCTCTTCCTCCTTCCAACCCTCTCTGTTTCCACCGCCTCCTGTTCTGCTGTCTATTTCCAAAAGCTCCATGTCCATGCTTTCCTCAATCTCTCACTTTTTGAAAATCTTTCCTACTTCTTTTCATTTCTTGCTCCTTTCTCCGTAAGTCAGATGCATGAACTGAAATCATGTTTTCTCTTATGTGAGATACCCAAAGTATAAATAAATAGCAAAATAAAAGATAGATGGGAGGAACTAAGGAGTTTTTGCTTTAAAAAATTGTAACATTGTATTCTTTTAAGACTAGAAGCCTATTTCGGAAAACACCATGAGTTCAATGAGCAAAGCGTCCATATTTGTTCACTGTATTTTAAAAACAGATCCTTGACATTTTAGGTACAAAGGCAGAAGGAACTTCAGGGGGCTGTGACCTTGAATTTCTCAGGGCCCAACTCTCAGAAAGAATGTGTTCTTCTCTTTTGTGGCTACCATTGCTGTTGCAAAATTCTTAGTATTTCTGTGCTGGAGCTTTGGTTGAAATCCACAGGGATGTGACACGTGGCCGAGTGGCAGCAGTGGCGGGCTCGCTCTCTTCTGCAGACCCAGCAGAAAGCACGGAGCCCAACCAGCTGTGTCGGCAGCATCTAACTCAGAAAGCTGGTTTACTGTGTATCCCCAAGTCAAGGCTAGACCCAGGCTAGCAAGTGGCAGTGACAGCTGCAGACACTGTAACAGCAGTGACTGTGGGGGCGGGACATGGCTCCCTAGCCAACAGCGCTAGCCCCTACGAGGCTAGTCTATCGGCCAGACACCACCGGAATTCCATCCTGTCAGCAGCTGCCCAGGTACCACCCCTCTTGCCTAGGTTCCATGACAGTGCCTGCAGCACTCAGGTGTAACATTGATCAATAAATTATCATAAAGTAGCAGCACTTACATGCAGACTACACTAAACAATGCAGAACTGGAAGTTTTCTGTTAGCCATGCTCACTTTAAAATGTACTGCACCAACACACATACACACAAAATCTACAAGAAAAACAAATTCACCTTTAGGATCATCTTATTTTGTAGAAAATAATGATTTTTCACTCTGTGATGCTTTAAATGAACCAGTTATTACAAAGGAAGATAGTTTTGGAAATTAAATTTTTCTTATAATTGAAAGAACAATAGAATTCATAAACAGGCATTTTCAATATAAACACACCATGAAACCATTAATGTCTTACATAACCTCTACAGGTTATGGAAAATGTCAGAGAAAACATTAACATATCACTGCATATATTTACATTAAGCATGAAATTCAATACAAAAGCAATGCAAATGATCATTGTGTAATAAAACTGCATAGAACTTACAAATGAGTATGCTGAAGTAGCTCAACTATGAATGAGGTTGGTGTGTTTTTTCCATTTCAACTTTCTGGACTGATGTACTGATCCTGCCACTGGGGAGGCTCACTAAGGACTGCAAGATCTCGCTAGCATTGCTTGCACTTGTAATCGATTCTACAACAATCTCAAAATTTAAAGGGTGCAATTAAAAATCAAATGCAGACATTTATGTGTCTGATTTCTACTGCAGTGAACCCTAATGGAGAACTTATTCCCACAAGAACCATCAGCTCAGCTCTGGATGTACTACAATATATGTTTCAAAGTAATTTATCCCAATGTTGTCATAGCCTATAAATCACTCTTAACATTGCCAGTACCAGTTGCAACCACAGAAAGATCTGTCTCAAAATTTAAAAATACTAAAAATTACTTGTGATCTAATGTTAGCCAAAAGGAACTGATGTCCCTATCAATTTTATCACTGAAAATGAGTTATTAATTTTATACATTTTAATGACCTAAGAAATGAAGTTGCAGAAAAATGAACCAGAAATTTATTATAAATTAAGATTTCACATAATATATTATTTATTATATATCTTCCTGGTCAAAGGCCTGACTATTTGAAATGTAAATGTTGAAAAAAAAAAGGAGTAGCTGTCCACTGATGATTATTTATTATATAATGTATAATTCTGACACAAAAGTGTTATATGTTTATAATTTGTAAATTGTGTTGTTACTCAGCTAGTGGGGAGGTAGAGGCTGTTTTTGTAGGCTGCAGTGGGGCCATTTAGCCAGCCCGACTCTGAGGTCACTTGGCTGTCCACTCTTCTCCCCACAACGCTTGTTCAATCCTGAAGCTCTTGCCAGTGCTCTGAAGGCTGGATGTAGAGCACTGGTCTTCCTGCTTCTCCTAGCATGGCCACAGCAAATAAATTTCTTCATTTCCCATCAACAGTTATGTCTCTTATTGGACTCTCAAGGTGACAGGTGGCAGAGCCTGGTCAGTTGGTTCCCAGCCCCCCACGTGAAACCTCTGGCTTTCGACTCTTGAAACAGTCATCATTACTGTTACCTCATTTTTGTCAGTAATAAGATATTTGAAAGAAAAAAGTTTATATTTTATAATTTCTAACAGCATTCTTCCTGAGTTTTAAATCAACAGACCTATATTGTTTTTTAGTACTTGTTCTCATATATTATGCAAGTACTAGACTATAGAATATGACCTAAATTAATTTTTAATTTATTTATAACTTATCAAAAGGAAAATAAATTTATTTTGGTAGAATGGAAGTTGGAATAAAATTTTGAAATGGTCTCTGAAATTATAACTAATCTCAGAACTCAACTTTCTTTTTTGAAAGAATGTTCAACAAGATGTTCTTTTGTCTTTTTCATTTTACTTTATTATTTTATAAGAAGTCAACAAAATTCACACAACTTGAGCTGTAATATTTGATTTCTAAGACATATTGCCTGAGGCAAGCCTTTAAGGCAATCTTTTCATTTACTGGACTGAATTTCCAAAATATGCTTTTGTTTTTCATCACAAATGAGAAAATGATTAAGGACTCTACATATCTATTACTTTTCAAATCTATAAAATGGAGATTTGATTTAAAAAAATCTATGCCTTGGCCCATACGCTTCACACTGAGCAACTGCATTTCTCAGCTTGCTACTACAGAGTGGTCAGATTTCCTTCAAACTTCAGAGTGATTAAAGCGAGCCAATCAGCATTCATTCTTGGCATTGTATCTGGCTTACTCCACTGCCTGCAAAAGAATTCTACATGTGAAATCAATGAACTTAACTTTGACAGGGATGCGCACGCTAACAGTGCACTGTTGCTACTTTGTCATGCTAAAAGAGGTTTGAAGAAATCCAGTCATTTGATTAGCAATCATAGAAAGGGTCACAAATGAAGGATCTCCTGGAAGGATTTCCGTCCATCAGTATCATTGCGTAGTGCTTTAGTGTGCAAGTCATCTCTCTTTTCCTAGTATTCTAATGTTCTGCTCTGTTTTTTCTACCATGCTCCAGAATGTTTCATGGGGACAGCAATATTCCTACGCGCTCTTCAAAGCCATGAGCCACATGCTGTGCATTGGGTATGGGGCCCAAGCCCCCGTCAGCATGTCTGACCTCTGGATCACTATGCTGAGCATGATCGTGGGCGCCACCTGCTATGCCATGTTCGTCGGCCACGCCACAGCTCTAATCCAGTCACTGGACTCTTCCCGGCGGCAGTACCAAGAGAAGGTATTTCATTTCTCTTATCTCTGCCAGTTTATAAGTAGAATTTATTGCCTTCAACCTAGCTTCCTGTATAAAAAATATGCTTTGAAACTTTTAAGGTAGGAAAACACTATCTGTGGTGATACTTTGAGGTTTCTTCAAAATAATCCTATGACTTTTACTTCATTTTAGTTTCTCTTCAATAATGGATTTTATAAAATCTAATTTTGTCTTGATGTGCAATGTGTCAAAGCACACGAAGCTCATGCAAGCAATCACTGAGGGAGGCGCACGTGCGCATGGTCCCCTTGAGGATTTTCCTCTATGTTTATCATCAGTGTTCATGTTTTGTTGTCCTCCAACAGACATGCATTCTCTAGTGTACATCAGAAATATTTCGGCTGAGAAAATGGAGCCGAGCAGCTGTCACACTTGCCCCTCTGTGCCTCTCTTCATGTTCCAGTTGCATACCTGGCTGGGCATGCGCTGCGTTACAGCGAGATAAATCAGCACACTAACCTTAACAATGTGTGTTGACAGGTCAGCTGTGCATTATTACAGAGAATGTATAAATGAAAATATTTGATGCTCTAAACTTTTCTCAGAAGAGAGACAAAAACAAGTTTCAGCAATGATTTATTCATTGCATTTAAAAATATGCATAAATTTGTTGGCTGGTGCTAAGCATTTGGTAGCTGGACATGGCTAATATTCCTGCACAATCATCAGTTACTGTCTGAGAAGTCAGAAATTTCCAACTTGGAGAAAGGATGTACATACCGGTACTGTTCTTCATGACCATACAGGTAGCTATTATGCATCCTTGCAAAGGGTGATCCTGAAAACAATGGTTCACATGGGCCCAGATGCCTCTGGTACGTGCTAACAACTTAGATTCAATTATTTTTGAAAGAACTGAGTATCATTTCCAGTTGTTGTTTTGTTGACAGTACTGTGATCACACAAGAGGAGAAAGGGACCTTACATATTTTATTTTCCTTGAAAGTAATTCTACCACTACCGTCACGCTAAGCAAATCGGTGTCTTTTTGTTGAAATAATGAAAAGATCTACCACCCAAATTGCCTTGTGGATCATTGTCAAAGTAAAGTCTGCAATTAAATTGTGAAGACTAAAGCATATAATAACGGAGAAGAGACTTTACAGGCCGTCTGCCTAGAAACTTAGGGTCCTGGGATGGGGCCTAGCATGCTAGCACAGCACGGTGCATCTAAGTTTCTTGTGCTTTCTTGCTTTCCCCTTTCAGTTGCACTAAATGAAAATGCTTCTTTCATGTCAATTTCACCTGCATATTGTTATATATTTTCTTAAAAACAAGTAAGTCTTTTATTTCCAGGACTGCATTTATTAGCACTATGCTTTGCAGTAAATGAATTCACATTATTTTATGGTTTTGGTTTGCCATAGAGAAACTAGGCTTAACGTGGAAAAACAATTTATTTAACTATGTATTCATGGACATTTATATGGAAAGATGTGAGGGTGGTTGCTGTAATTTATGTTATCCAGTTCTTGACCTTATAATTGTTTGATAGAGGGACAGGACACTGGGGTAATCTTTCAATTTTTGATATTCACAGCAATTTAACAAGGAGCAGTTAAGATATATATATATATATATATATATATATATATATATATATAGCCTCAGTTCACAAACTTGAGGGTTTTTTTGGGGGGGTACAGGGGATAGAACTCAGGACCTTGAGCTTGTGAAGCAGGTACTTTTTCCACTGAGCTATATCCTTGGCCCCATGAACTTGATTTGTTTCACAATGCAAAGTTGGGTAAGAATAAAATCAAATTCAATAGTCAAGATTCATTGTTGACCTTACAGGAAAATTTGATTCAGTTCACATCCAGTTTGGTTGATGACCAGGACTGTGGAAAGAACTGAGTTCATTAACCAAGGCACCAATCACTATATATAATACACATATATTTATAAACATGTGATCAGAAAATCTGCAATCAGCTACAGCTATCTGTAGGAAAGAGGGAGACAGAAGATTTAGGTGGAAAGCTATTGGCCTGAAAGCTGTGGAGGTGGAGAAATTATCAGAATTTCTTGGGAAACTCAGTTCTTTAAATGTGGTATGGAGTGCTTGAAAAATACTGAATAGGCAACACAAAATATTCTCCATCATTTTCAATGAAGACAATTTATATAAAATGGATTTGAATCCATGTATCATAAACTATAATTCATTTTTTGCAGTTGAATATTTTTAAAAAGAATGCATGGAATAAGATAGTAACTTGTGAATTTAGAAATGAAATATAATGATGGTGTAAATTTTTTAAAAAGTGAAAATTTTCTGAGCTACAAAAGAAGAAAGTATACTTCATGAAATATTTTTAACTTTTTCTGAAAACAGCAATATTTTGCTTAAATGGTGTGAATATATATTCAGATGATAATATAAATGATTATATTCCACATTCTTTATTTAGCTTTGCTAGGTAAAATTATCTTAGAATAATATATTCACTGAAAAAACATTTATTGCTATCCTACTTCACTAAATTAATATTAAAATTGATAAGTTAAAATTTTGAAAGTTACTTATGCAATTGAGGGAAAATTCTATTAAAATGTTCAATGAACATTTATGGCCTTCCATTTTAATATTATAGTTCTATAAGAATACTAAAAAAGGAACCAATAGAGCTGTCAAATGATGCAAATAGATTTATTTCAGTACTGGAGATTAAACCCATTGGACTACATCCCTAACCCATTTATATGTTTTCTTTACTTGTTTTGATTTTGAGGCAAGTTTTTCTGTCCCTGAGTTGCCCCAGGGGCCTTGAACTCAGGCCCTCCACTCTCAGCCTCTCAGTACCCTGAGAGGGGTTACAGGTATGGCACCACTGCAATGGACTTCATGGTAATATATGCTTTATATTTTGTTTGTAAGCACTTAGTTGATCATTAGTGGACTGAGTCATCTTTTAGTTATTTGCAGAGATATCATCTGTGTTTGGAGCTGAGATTGGTCGGTCAACGACTCCTCAAATTAACACCCTGAACCTAGCAGGGAAACAGCACAGGGAAAGTGATGCAGAGCTGTAAGGGTGTTAATGGCATGGAAAGGCATGAGCAGGAGGATCAGTAAGAAAAACTAGAGAAGGGCCAGCAAGATAGCTCACCAGGTTAAGCACCTGCCTAGGCAAGCACAGTGACTGGGGCTCAATCCCCAGCACCACATGCTGTGCTGGCCTCACCCCCATGCGTGCTGAGTCAGCCACAGAGATCCAGCATGGTGCTGCATGCTTGTAATCCCAGTGCTGGGCAAGATGAGACAGGAGGATCAAGGGAAGAGGAAAGGAAGGGCCAGAAAGAAATTAGACTCTACAAGCAAGAGAAAGAACAGAAAAATAAATGATACATGTAATGTTCAGCAAAGAAGATGTCAGGATGACTGCAGAACAGCACCTGGCCCCTCCCCACGGCCGGTGCGAGCTCCGAAGGAAGGCCTGCCTCTCCTCACCTGTGCTGCCCCAAGTCTGGCCAACTCATAAATGTGCTCTTACTCAAATGAGAGCTCTTCATTTGGGTGCCAGGCAGATTACAGAGTGGAGCTGGCCCTAAAGGCCAGAAATGAAGACCCTCTTAAGACTGTGCTCAGGATAGAGAGTGACACTACTGAATGGCTCCAATGGGTCTGAGCAGAATATGATAATTATGCATCTTTTTTAGTTTGTTCAATTTATTTTATTTTTTTATCACAGTCACCATTTAATTTTTCAAGACTTTTCTCTCAATTTTAAAAGAATGAATAAACAACAATTTTCATAATCATTGCAATATACTTTTAAGATAATTATTTTTAAGGGGTGAAAGGGTGGAAGCCTTAATTGCTTGATTTTTTTTGGAATACTTTGTTCCCTGAGAGGATGACTCATCTTTCTCTGCTTCTTGGCAAAAATACGTAGCCTTCTAATTATGCAAGCCCCGAGAAGTTAGATGTTGGGAAAATCACAATATTTAAAAATTTAGATTTGCAAATCTATTCTTTTATAATTCAGACAGCTAGCTTCCAAACTTTCAAAATTTAATAAAGTATTGTTTATACAATCACAGCAGTCATCATTTCTATTAGCAGTCTGAAAAGTCTAGCATGAGGAATGCTAGCAGTCATGTCTTATACAAACATTATGAAATAACGTTTCTTTAGAGCTTGGTTTTAGATATTAACTGGAATAGATGCACAAAACAGTAAAAAATTAGTACTTTCAATAGGAATCTGAATGTGGCTCACCAGAATTGGAATACACCTATATTTTTAATTATTAAATCACAATTGAGATAATTAATGTTGCATAGACAACACTGATAGCAGCATTTTCTTAGCTTATAAGCCTCCAGATTAAAATTTTGAATTTTCTAATACTAGTAAGACAATTTTTCTATTTATATATTTTTATTTTTATTTTCTCTAATTCACATTTTACAATTAAAAACCTAGATTTCAGATAGGATAAACATATTTGGGCCGGGGAGATGGTTCAGTGGAATAAGCGCTTCCCTGGCAAGCACAAGGGCCTGAGTTCAATCCCCAGTGCCACCAAAAACAATATATATATCTATCTATATATCTATATATATATATATATATATATATGCATTTAATATCCATATATCTTATGAGTACAGTGGCCAAGAGTTAACACAGCAGTTTTACTTCTTTTTTCACAACTTTTACAGCAAAACCATCCTGCTCTAACAGGGAGGTAGAATTATTATTCAAATATTTTGTCATTTGTAACAGGAATTTTATCTAAAAAAATTCCAAATTTCTGATGAACAGCACAGGGAAATTCTTTCCTGGCCTGGGAGTTCTGTTTAGTAAAGTAAGGTAGTATGTCAGACATACACAAACATAAGCGCCATTTTACTTAAAAGTTACAATTTTCAGTACTCTTTGGATGCTTTTGGCTGCATAAATTGTTTTCACTTTGGAAAATTAATTTTCATGAGATTCACTGCCTAAAAATAGT